TCTAAAACAACGAATACAGTTAAAAGCAGTTAACTTTGTTAAAAATACAAAAAACAACGATTAAAGCAGTTAACTTGTTTTAAAAAGTCTAAAACAACGAAACAGTTAAAAACACTTGAATACAGAAAATTAAAACAAAAATAAAAGCACTTTGGAAAAAGTCTAAAACAACGAACCAAAAGCAGTTAACTTTGTTAAAAATACAGAAAAGTCTAAAACAACGAATACAGTTAAAAGCAGTTAACTTTGTTAAAAATACAGAAAAAGTCTAAAACAACGAATACAGTTAAAAGCAGTTTGTTAAAAATACAGAAAAGTCTAAAACAACGAATACAGTTAAAAGCAGTTTACCCGCCATTGCACGTGTTGAGTCTGTGAGACCCATACACAATGCGTTTTTCATTATTTCAAGACAGGTGGCAGCAGCTGCACCGCTGATGTTCTATCTACCTTCCTATATTTAAGTACGTCATTTAACACGTACATTGCCAACAAAGCAGATTCTTTCAGAGTTTGTTGGGATTTCAAGATGAGTTATTTCATCGTATTAATTGTCTTGGGTCTGTAAGACCCAACCAGTTCAAATATGTAAGTTTTTTCAAAATTTCGTTTTATTTCATTTTTCTAAATTTGTGTGGTACGCAATTCTTTTTTTATGTATTTGCAAGACTTCACGAAAGTTTAAATCTCAATAATCCCGATGATTTGACCTTTGTTTGAGGAATTTGTTCGGATTTTAAGATGATATGACTTTAGTTTCATATGTTCCAAAGTGGAGTAAAACAATGATCCTCTTGTCATCCATGCATCATAATGACAATATTGACGAAAATATGGATGACAAGAAGAAACCTGAAATCATAACTTTTTGTAATGAAACAAAAGGTGGTGTTGACTGTGTCAACGAGAGAGTGGCATTTTTTAATGTTGTTGCTCGAAACACGAAACATTGGTCAATGGTCGTCTTTTATGTCATACTAAATATGGCAGCTTATAATTTATATTTAATATACAAATCATATGCATCTGACAAGGCTAAAGCCAAAAACAGAAGAAAAGTTTTAAAAAACTAATGTACCATTTCGCAGATGACCATTGTAAAGAAAAAGATAAATGTCAAAAAACATTCCAAGGAACATTCATACTGCTGCACAAAAATTGTCAGGAACAGTTGCAGAGTTTGAACATCGAAATGAAACAGGAAAAAGGGGCTGATGTGCCTATTCTAAGGACAGAAAAACCCAATACATGTGCGAGCAGTGCAAAAAATATCTTTGTTTAGAGTATACTGTGTTTTTTGTAGTGAACGTAAAAATGAAATATGAATCATCTTTCTGAGTCAGCTTTTCATCAACAATTGAAAATACCTTTATCAAATGTTTACTTTATTTTAACTATTTTATTTTGTGTTTGTTTTCAATGTAATGTCTAAAAAGGTACCTTGTAAAAAGAAGTTCACAAGAATATAAAAATTTATTTTGTTGGTCTATTTGAGGATATTAATGTCATAAATTAAACGAAGATAAAGTTGTTTTAACTTTAAAATGATGCACTACGATATATCTGATGTAAAGTATAATGAATCTCACAGACCCAACCCATGCACTTACCGCATTTTTTTCCACCAGTGCATCCCTGGGTTATTTGCAATTAAAATTAGAGTTTTTAAGGAAAAACTTGCATTGCGGCCAACGGACAAAAAAACAAAATTTTCGGTGCATAAAATTGAAAATTAATTTCTTCCCACTGGGTAGAAAAACACTGAACCTGGTGCACCAACTGACTTAATTCATTGTTCTACTAAGAGATTGAGATGTAAGCTAATGGCGGCCTCGATAGGTCTAGCGCCGTTTAAAATTTTAAATTTTTGACAATTCTACAACTATTGCATGCAGATTAACTAAAATTATAAAACCTTAACCGGAACACAGGAACATCCTAATTCTAACATTTTAAAGCCAAAAATGCAAAATTTACCAAAACAAAAAAACAGACAGCCGGATAAAAGGCTTAGTATATATACTAACGCCTATATACATATGTATGAGTGTGTGTGTATATATACGTAGAATTTACTTTCGGTTTTGGTATTTTTGCTATTTAAGATTTTTCTTAGCAGATTTTTAAACAAGAAGTTCAACTTTCTATTTAAAATACTAATTTAAATTCTGACTAATTTTTTTTTCATTCACGGTTTTAAATTGAATTTGTGTTCCTAGGAGATGGTATATGGAAAGTTTTCTTATTTTTTTATTTATATTTTTTTTTCTTTTATTAGTTTTCTATGTTTTTTATTATAAATTATTATGAATTATACATACGTATATATATATATATATATACGTTTGGTGTGGCCGATTCCAACGAAAAGGCAAGATATAGTATAACTAGGCATTATAGCAGTTCCTTATACAAGATTTAAACGTTCTTCGGCTAATCGTTTCTGAGTTATGCACCATATATACATACGTAGGTACGTACAGACGTCATGAAAATTTTCCCATCTACGTATATGGAAATGCGTAAATGCTAACTTTAAGACTAATGTATAAATGGTAAAACCTGGTAGAACCGTGAAACTTTCAATGGTACTTTATGCACATTATGCCTAAAGACACTTTTCTGGGCTTGCGGACGTTAATATTTGCTCTCAAAGTCAGTGTAATTTTATTTAACAATATGTTTCAAAGTCATACCCGTTCGCTGTATGGCGGCCATGATAAGTCGTGACTTATCGTTGCTGGCATTTATTTTTGCTTCACTTTTGGGAAGTCATGTTTACTTCAACTATTCTAACTTCTTTGGTCAAATCAAACTCTTTTAGCTTTCAATTATTCAACATCATGGCTTGGAAATCTGCACCACCATGCTGGTTGTTGAAATGTCCTAGCATTCCGGCTTAAGATTTGTGTTTGAAAAGAGAGTGCCACAAACTATGCAGTGGGGGAGGGACGACTTTTGCGCATTATCAGTTGTTCTGTTGAAAGTGAAACCAAACTTCACGTATTCATTATTCCTTTTGGTATTCTTCCAATAGGCGATCTACTTTACTTAACTGTGTAGTTACTTTACGGATTGATAGGTGGCGTCACTAAAATTGTTGTTTTTACACATCTTTCTTTCTTCCGCCATTTTATTCAAAATTTTCATGATCAGAATTATTACTTATTAATATTTTTTACGTTTTGCAAAATATATTTCTTTTGCTCTGTTTTATGCTGCGTAAAAAAAAAACTTTCAGTGGGCGAATAAAAGTGTGAAATAGTTTTTAAAATTAGATTAGCTGGTTTAACTATTCAATGAATTACTCGATATTAATATAACTAAAAGGGAGCCCCTAAATGTTATGGATATGCATCATATTGCATATAGTGAATGAAATAGGTAAGAGGGAAGACAAAATACAACCGGTTTTGTACTGCTATATTTAGAGTTTTCAAAACCTTTTTACAAACAGTTTGTTGTAAACCGAGTATTAAAAAGAGATATAAGGAATTTAAGAGAGAGAAATTAAACATTGTTAGCGCTTAAGATAACAGTTATTTCATTTGCTTCTCATTTAAACTAGTATTTGTAATGTAAACGTGAAGTTTATTTGAGAGTAAATTGATAACAAAGATTCAAGACAGCATTTTAAAAACTCTTCCCAAATTCAAAGAAAAAATTGCTTGAGAAAAAAACGATAAGCATAAACGTTGCTTTTACTAACAAAATAGTCTGAGAAAGAGGTGGTGCCATCTAGTATAAAATTAACTGATTCAGTAACTAACGAAATTCGGTAGATCGCCAGTTGGAACAATACCTTCCTTTTTCTCCAGATTAACATCATAAACGTTAATTATAATTTAAGAAATATAACCTAAATATCAAGTTGATTAGAAATAATCAAACTAATCAAGTTGATTGGAAGAAAAATAACAAAATATAAGTCGTATAAAATAAGCATACTCACTATTTATTAGTGACAGAAAAGAAATGAGAAAGGTACGAATACAGAATGGCTATAGAATGCACTCGGAATTAACTAGGAAACTTCGGAACTAACTTCTACTGATATTCCAAAATGCTACTGACATTACCAAAATGGACTGCAAATCTGTTATCGACGTATGCGCAGGAAATGTGTTTTTTACACGCGCAGTAGTCATGAATGTTAATTTTAAATAATTATTTATTTAAAAAGATTAAAATATTATCTCTCAGATCTTGCTGAAAATCCCTGCTCTAGAGAATGAAAAATTAAAGGAAAAATGATTAAAAAAAAACAATCTGAAAGCTTTCAGAATTTACATTACGCTCTAAGGGGTGTTTTTTAATAAACTTTTGTGTGTTACCGTTATTTATTAAATATCATGTTCTTCGAACTTTAACCATAAAATTCAATTCAACAGCAATATCGCAAAATAATTTTAAAATGAGCATATCTTGGAATTTCCAGTACACAGTCTCGCGCGCTGGCGATAATATTTCCCCCGTACAGTGTTGGCATTGCTCGGTTTTATTTTAATAGCTTAGCTTGTTAATTAATAATGGCAATAGACTCAAATGAAAAGTGAAGCAACACATTAAAATAAAACACACACACAATGCAATTCTAAAAAGTATTTAACGCATTTAAATTAAATATATCATGAATTAAATGCATTTTATTTTACTGGATTAGATTCAAAAGTTAAATATTTTCTTAAAAAATGCATTTTTCCCTTTAAATAGCTTAGTTTGTTCATCCATAACACACAGATCAAATTCGAAAGAGAAATATTTTATAATTTGCCGAATGGCAACATACTGGAAAGTGAAACAACGCAAAATCACGTTTCGAAGCTAATAGCTCGTTTGGGCTAAATATGTTAAATGATCACCTGATAATTTACAAACTCGTTGTTATTCTCTTCTGTATTCTGCATTAAACTGGACATCATCTTCGCAAAGTAAAGTTTTATTTTCATAAAAATGAATTTTAGAATTTTCAACTATTAAAAAAGTATTTGAAGTCTTACCAATCTGTGTTGCGTCGCATCGTTTTCGCTGTGTGTATGCATAAAAGAACCAACATGCTACTCCAGACTAAAGTCGACCGCCGCCTGTAAAATGATACAAATTTATTTTATTCCTTATTTTGGTAATGTAAAAAGGAAAATGTGGAACATTGAAGAGTAAGTTTATTATACGCACATAAAAATTTCTGAGCATATTTCATGGGCAGGAAGCGTTCTGAAACTCAAGCAAGTAAAAGAGAATAAGTAAAAGAGAATAGTAATTCATTTCTTTGTAAAAAGAAACTGCTTCCGGCGCCAAAACAAAAACGTTTTACTTCGGGGCATAGAGTAATAAAAAAAAGGACACTTATATCTTGACTTTCAGATTTGTTATCTGAGTTCGTTATTTTTCTGCCTTCGAGATATTTCATTTGAAATGCGCTCTTCATTTCGCTTTTGCAATGTCATATACAGACAACTCCTATTCGAAAAACTCCAATATGCGAAATTTTCTTTTATTGGTGGTAGAGAATAATAGTTGAAACAAAGCAAAAATATAATTAATGTAACCACTATTATAGCAATTGTTAAAATATATTTTATGCTCTTAAGAAAAAGATGTATTGCTGATAAACTACATTCGTACTCCCCCCCCCCCAAATGCCAAGTTTATGTACAGTGGAACCTCGAGATACTAGTTTAATTCATTCCAGCATTGAGCTCGTATAGCGAATTTCTCGTATATAGAAACAAACTTCGGCACTGAAAATAATGGAAATCCAGTTAATCCGTTGTGCACCCTCAAAAATATCAACATAAAAATAAATTTTTCTAATAAAAATTACACTGGTAAATAATATAATCGTAGTTTACCTTTATGATAGCTTCCGACAAATGATAGCTTCTGACACCGACCTTTTAACTGCTTCTTGTTAATCCACACTAACAACAGCTTCTCAACATCTTCTAGTTTTGGATGGTGCTTGGAAGTAACGGTAACTCCTCTGGCCACATCAAGTTTCTTAACTTTTTCCTTCATTTTCAGAATAGTGCAGAACGCCAATTCCGCCACTCTTAACCACGTTTATGTTTATGTATGATTTCTTTATTAGTTTCAAAGGCCCATGGTTTCCTTCTTTTCATTTGCAGAACTACCTGAAGCAACAATCCTCTTGGGAGGCATCGTGAAATAATTATTTTCACATTAAATGTAAAAAAACAATTAACTCACAAGCGCAGAAACACGTAGATCAAATACCACTGAGTAATTTGACTAGGGCATACTCCGAGTCGAGCCGGATCGGGAAATAGCGCCACGCATACCAACAGCCTGGGATCATTGCTCGTTACTCGAATCAATATTCGTATTTAGAGACAAATTTTTCGCTCATACTTCCCTCGTATCTCTAATTTCTCGTATGCAGAGGTGATCGAATCTCGAGATTCCACTGTACACCATATTTGATCAAACTGTCACTCGAATATTTGCCAAGAGCACTTGCTTTTAACATAAATTTCGTGATAAATTGCCAAACTGACGCAATGTTTAGCGTCTTTTCAAAGAAATGAAAGATTTGTAAAAAATGTATTTTGATCGTAAAATTAGAACAGTTTTTATAAAAATTGCAGGAAGTTCTTTGATAGATGTATACTAAATATCACACTGTTTTTTTAATGAAAAAGTCTGTTCAAATTAAGCATTTCAAACAATTTGATCTGCGATTTGACTTTGGATCAGATCTGATCTGATAATTAGAAAATCATGATAGCAATTTTGGAGAGCATACTTAAGTCTAAGTTAATTATAGACATACTTTACGAGTACATAAAGTATCACAGTCATATTTTGATTTAAAACGAAGCTTACGCTGCTAGAAGGCTGCCTCCTTGGGCTACTAGAAGACAAAATCCCATGCTGGGGGCATACAGCACTCTTTCCGCCACTACAAAGCCCACAGGAAAAAACAGATTTGACGCTGGCAGGAATGGAAAGGCACACATGGCGAGGCTCTGCAAAAGAAAGGGTTGGAAAATCATAAAAACAGTCAGTTTTTCAAACAAAAACTGTTTCCGATAAAAATTCCTTACAATGATGGAAATTATTAAGGTTAGATGATTATAAAATATAATACATAATAAAAATGGGGAAGAATAGGAAAAAAAGAAATGGAGACTAACAGCAATTCGTTATCTACTATGCATTAAGCTTATTGGGACCAAAATTATTGCAAGAAATTGATCAAATCACCAGTTTGAGGAACGGAACTTATTAAAACTGTACATTGAGGGAGGTGATATTTATTTATTTATTTACAAATGCTTGGCTCTTGGCCTTTAAGCCAGTGTTCTGAAACTCGCGGTTCAAAATTGTTCTGATACAATTTTGTGCAGCCCACCCGCGAATACATTTCCTTTAAATTAATTAGAATTATTATGACATTATTTATTATAGTAAGAATATTTGAAGAAATGTTTCAGATTTTAATGATTTTGAGTCACATTTTACATTATTTTCATTACCATTAAAAGTGAAAGGGAATAACGTCCCAAATAATCTTCAAGTGGAGCTAATTAATTTACACTGCAATACAAATCTTATTAAAAAATTTTAAAATACAGACTTGTTAAACTTTTTTCGTACTTGTCAAGAAATTAATTAGTTAAGTTACGAATTTTGTATAAGATTAATCACTTTTTCTGGGAATATTTATATGTGAGCATTTTCTCCAGCAGCTAAAGATAAGTTAAAAAAACAAACACCAGGCTATTCCGATAAAAATAAGGAAGTTTGGTAATTTTTTCTCCAAATGTGAAAACTTCGTTTAAATAGAAACGCCATGAAATGTTGCAGCTGAAAGCTGTAATAAGAAAGAAGTTAACTGCTTACATACAAAAAGATGTATTTTTTCCTACGTGCGTCAAAGTAAAATTTATTAAATAAAAGAAAGGTAATAATTCGTCATTATTTATTCTTAATTTTTGACCCACTGAAAAAGTTTTCTTAATTTATTTATTTTTACTTGAAGTTAAAAGTAAGCAATTTAAAGATTTATTCAACACAGAAGAATTATTTGAAATAAATGTTAGACTGAAAAATTAACATTTATTTACAAATGCCTTTGAATTAAAAAGTGTAACCAACAAAAATTTCTAGATCTTAGCCTTTAGATTTGAGACAGAAAATAAGACTAAGCTGAAATGTTTTCCTTCGAGTTATTATTAATACTGTTTATGCATGTTTTGATAAACATTTGACTAACAAAGTTTAATCTTTAGAGAAAAACAATTTTAAAGTACGCTTTTATATGTTCTTTGTCTATGGGTTATAATGTCCATGATTTATCCACAGTCATAAAGGGAACACAAAAGAGGGTTCCTTAATGTGACATGACAGAGATGAACATTAAGGCAAATCATGTCCAGTTAAAAAATTGAATGATGTCCCACATAAGGCATGGTTCCATATTTTAACAGGACATGATTATAGCATATAAGGATCATGGTATTCACATGCGGTAAGCAAGGTGAAAGAAGTTTTCTCCTTCATTACGCGTGCCACCGTGATGAATTGGAAGCACGTCAGCCTAGCAATCAAAAGATGCGGAGCTTGAATCCTAGTGAGGTTATTGTCAATTCTTCCTTTCCGGCTTCAAATAAATTCTAAAAAGGCATTATAAGTGGTGCGCGACTAAAATGCATTGGATGATCGGGACTTGTCGACAGGGTCCCATTTTCGGAAAATGGGAGAAAAAATAAGGCATTTTCTCCTTCCTTGCCGAATGCCTTCGCGGTTTAACTGAAAGCACGTCCAACTAACAATCGTGAAATCCATATTTCATGTCTCGGCGAAGGCATTGCTTACTTTTTCATGCCTCTGCTTTGACAAACTTAATGACTGTCCAAGGTTAAGTAATAATAAAGTGATTCTCTTCAAATCTGCGTTTTTACATTTTCTTACTAAGCATTTAGAACGAAAATTGCTTCCCAGTTCTGGTGTTTCCTGTTCCGAAATAAACTTAATGATTCTACAATCTTAACCCATTTATGCCCAGTGGCTAAATTATGGGACGCTTGGAAATCCCTGTGTAGGAAATCTTCTAGAGCTTACATCCTTTACCCAAAGCAATTTTTCATGTCCCCGAGGATTCTTCTTACTGTTAGCAAAAGATGAAACCACTAGATGGACATTAAAATTCTTTTAGAACGAGTTACTTTTATAGGAAACATTTCAGCATCGACACATGGGTAGCCACAGGAAGTAAGCGTTTTTTGCTAACTTCTTATTCATAAAACTAAAAACATTTAAAATGATTTGCATAAAATAGATCACAAAAAGCTTCTGCAAAGTTATTTTGCAAATATAAAAATATAATTTTTTTGTAATTATGTTTTAATCTTTGGCGTCCTGTTTATAGGACACTAGACATTTGTGAGTGCATTAAGCCTAAAAGATTTTATCGTCTTATCAATAACCTAAACGCATTTTTATTCGAAATATGCATGTTTTATACGATAATACTTCAAAATCTATTCTCTTATTACTATTATTGTATACAAAATACTTAAATTCTACAATATTTGCTAAAATATCTTTGTGTGTGCAGAAAAAATATTCGTAAAATTGTCAAAAATATCGATTTTTAATTTTTTCTTGAAAGGTAATTTTTTTTAGATTACGCATATTATTGTAACGAATATATGATTTATATTATTTTTTGTATATAAAAAAATTCTAATTATTATTTACTGGAAAACTTCGATAAATTATTTCAGATACTTAACCTTAATTAAAGCAAATATAAGCTTCCATTAAGCTCACTAAGGAATTGTCAGATTCTGGATTTGCGGTTGTAGGTACACACAGAGAAAACAGGATTGGAAACTATCCGGTTGAAATCGTTAAAAATCTAAGAGAAAAAAGAAAGAGGTGCTATCGATTACAAAAAGACATGTCATCTGGTGTAATAATTGTACATTCAAAAGACAACAGTGTTCTTAGAACAGTTTCAAATTGTACTAGAGTAAATCCATAAGTTCAGTCACACGCTGGTCGGATTCTGAGAAACAGGAGATTGTGATTATCATATACAACAAGTTTATGGGAGGTACCGGATCGAATGGATGATAATGTTTCAAATTATCGCATTAGATTCCGTGGAAAGAAATGGTGGTTTCTACATGCCATGTTTTTTGATTAATGTTTTTAATACCATATTTTTAATTGAAAGTTTCAAAACAGGTGTATTCAATTCAAAATTCATGGCTCATCCATTGCATGTTTTGCCAAGAAACAAAACACAATGGATCAACTAGAATTTCGCAGCACCATTTCACAGAGCTATCTCAAACAATTTGGAATGCTTCCCAAACCTGGAAAAACAACCACTTCAACAAAGAAGACTAAGCGTGTGACCAATGAAATTTGATTCGACCAAATAGGCCACACAATTGTTAACACAGCTAAGTAAGTAAAACACGACTGCAATATGCTTAGCGTTCAGATTAAGAGCACAAGAAAATGTGAAAATATGAAGTTGGACTGCATGATAAAGGCTTTCAACAATTTCATGAAAAATAATTGTTTCTAATTTATTGCTTTTACATTTCCATTGTTTATAATATGTAAAATGTTCTTAAAATTATCATCGCTTTGAATAATATAATCGAATTTATTTATATTAACCATTACTTATTATTAATGATTTGCAACACTGAACTTTCAATTACGAGTGCAGGTGCATTTTGTTTACACATATGCCCAGTGTCTCATAAACGAGACATTAATTTACTTAGCAAATTTGGAAAGCATGATCACTTTGACGCTTAAAGTGAATTTATACCTTTTATATTAAGCGATATAAGTTCATTAATAATGAATAAAATTGCCCAAAAAATCTTTGGCATAAAAGGGTTTTAAAATAGCAAAAAAATTAAACAAGATCTTCACTTAGGCAAGAAATTTTCAAATATGGTCATTGTCTCTGTAGAATGTATAACTATAATTAGTTCTGTTTTTGAACAACCGTAATTGATTCCTGAGTATGCATCCAGCCCTTATGTGTAACTTTAATCATATATGGCCTTCCATTAATTACGAAAAATAAAAGGTACTGGAAATTTCTCGGCGGCCGAGGGAAGAAAATTCTGTAAGGCCGGAGACAGCATTAGGTCTCAGTTTATAGTTCAGAGTTGACTTCGGAGTGTTATGTAAAATGTTATGTATTATTTTGTTGTGTACAATTATTACGTATTATTTTATTGTGCATAGGAAATTCTTAGTGATTATATTATTTTACTGTGAATAATGAATTTGTAATGTTCTTATTTAAGAATTAATATTTAGTTTTGCTTAAACTTTTCGTTCGTTTACGGCAAAGCTCTTTTAAGTTTAGCTAAAGATGTGATAAAGATAAAAGGGCGCGGGTGTATTTCCGTTTCTCACGCGGCAGCTTCTTTTGGGAGGTCTGAGGTCGGACTGCCCAGCTGCAATTTCCTCTTTTCGCGGGGTTGACCACATGTTTAGGGTGTGGAGGCGAGAAAGTATTTAGGCCTTTCTGAAGTAGAGAACTGGATGATGTGTTTATTACTTACCGGTGTCGCAAGTTTAACTGAATTAAGATTGAAAACATTCTTTCTGGTTTTCGTGGGAAAGGGTACGTCATTTTGTTAGGAGTCTGAATTTCTTCGAATTTTGGTCCTTGTTTATTGTCTCTGTTCTATTTGGCTAGAGGAAGTTCAAGTTTTTGGTTTGAAATTGGTTATTTTTAATTTTATTAATGTTTGAGCCAATGGTGATTTTAGAGGCGGTACGTATTGAGCGTCTCCGAGTTTTCAAAAGCCACTGCACGTGAGGCAGGGACATTTTTTTTCCTGATAGACTTTATCAACTTTTCGGAGTGGAGGGAGCGCGCGGTGGCGGTTAAAGGTTGTTAATGCCTTCCGATGTCTGTGAGTTTCGGGGACCCGTCCATCGCTTGGTGGCTATCATCGTGACATTTGTCGTCATCTAT